GAGCCTTCTCTTCTCCAGCCTGAACAACCTTCTCTCAGCCTCTCTTCATAGGAGTCGTTTTCCAGCCCTCTGATCATTTTTGTGGCCTCCTCTGGACCTGTTCCAGCAGGTCCACGTCTTTCTTGTGCTGTGAACTCCAGCCCTGGACACAGTACTCCAGGTGGAGTCTCACCAGAGCAGATCAGAGGGGCAGAATCACCTCCCTTGACTTGCTGGCCATGCTTCTCTTTATGCGGCCCAGGATACGGCTGGCCTTCTGGGCTGCAAGCAGACATAGTTGGCTCATGTCCAGCTTTTCATCCACCAGTATCCCCAGGTCGTTCTCCACAGGGCTGCTCCCAATCCCTTCATCCCCCAGCCTGTCTTGATACCAGGGGTTGCCCTAACGCAGGTGCAGGACATTGCACTTGGCCTTGTTGAACCTCATGAGGTTCACATGGGCCCACTTCTCAAGCTTGTCCAGGTCCCTCTGGATGGCATCCTGTCCCTCAGGTGTGTCAACCGCACCACTCAGCTTGGTGTAATCTGCTAACTTGCTCGATCCCACTGTCCATGTCATTGATGAAGATATTAAACAGTACTGGTCCCAGTACTGATCCCTGAGGGACAACACTTGTCACCAATCTCCATATGGACATTGAGCTGTTGACCATTACCCTCTGGATGAGACCATCCGGCCAATTCCTTATCCACTGAACAGTCTACCCACTAAATCTGTACCTCTCCAATCTAGAGAGAAGGATATTGTGAGAGACCTTGTCAAAGGCCTTACAGAAGTCCAGATAGATGACATCTGTAGCTCTTCCCTTCCCAACTGATGTAGTCTCTCCATCATAAAAGGCTACTAGGTTGGTCAGGCAGGATTTGCCCTTGGTGAAGCCATGCTGGCTGTCCCAAATCACCTCCCTTTGTGTGGCTTTTCTTGTGTGTGGCTTTGTATGGCTTTTTTTTTTTTTTTTGAGAAATAACATTATTTTGTTTCATAACAAGACCAAAAATATGTAACACACTAAAAACTTACTTATTTATCATAAAAGAAAAATATTGAATCACTTACACAGGCAGAACTTAAGAAAAACAGATGCAACAGTTACACTGACAACTAAGTTCTGTGGAAAAATCAGTTAAAACCAGCTAGTGTGTATCATGATAAAAGTTAACTCTAGGGACATAATTACCCAAGAGGCAGTGGTTTAGCGGAGCAGAGGGTCCCACCTCTTACAGCCCACTAAAAAGAAGTGGGCAAACACACACCCATTAGAGACAGCAAAATTCAGAGCAGCTGTTCCTACCTGTCTTGCCGTTGGAAAACGTTCTGTGGGAACAATATGGAGGTGAAGTGGTCGAGCTGTGAGTTGGCTGAAAGCTGGAGTTAGCTCAAAACAGTTCTGAAACAGCGATACCCTTGCAAAGATATAAAGGCCAAGCCTGGCTCTTGACATGGCAACAACCAATCGTCGGACATCCCTTCAGAAAACAAACAAAATCAGTCATGTTCTTTTCACTGATGACATGGGTGCAATAAAAATAACTAGAAGTATACAGAAGTCTTCATTAAAGGAAATAGAAATCATCTGCTAAAATACTATTTTGTCTTAAGTTTTTTTCCTTACACACTGTTTCAATAACTACCACATCCTAGAACCATTATATAAAAGAGCATTCACTGGACTGATAATGATATGAAAAATCACCCTTTATTATCTTCCTAGACCTCAGAAGTAAAGATTTACATTGAGAACAAACCACAACAGCATTTCTGCATCCCTGAATGAGTAAACATGAGTTTGATAACTCATCTAAATACTGCTGAAGAGACAACTCTTCCTCCACCCCAACCGAAAAACCGAAGTACAAACATTTTAAACTACACATCATAATGCAACTTATGCAGTGATCAAACACTTCTGATACAAAACAAATAAAAAGCTCGCTCACAGGAAAGAATCTATAAGAAAATTTAAGCCTGCATTTGTTCACCAAGCATTACATTCCTATTGTTCTACCAGGGTGAAACCAAGTTCAGCCTATCTGTAGTAATACAAGCTAATTACAGAATAAGAACCATTACTAAAGGGTAAAGTAGTTATGAAGAGGGCACCACAGTTATAAAAGGAAGTAGGTCTGAACTACAGCTTTAAACTTAATTTCTATTACATACTCAAATAATTTAACATTTTTGTATAATGTACTATAAACATCTTTCTGATACAGAAAACATGCAGTTTAATGACACTGCAAGAGTATCTTCTGACATACCTAAGGTGGCCTACAGCTTTGGTACGCACTAGGGAAAGGAGAATATAATCATTTTGTTGACCTTGAAACCTGTCCACAGTTGTAACCTAGAGAATGAAAAACAAAACAAAGCAAAAACAAAACCTCCATTAGTTTAATCTTTGCCACTTCAATTAAAATATGATACCAAAATTTCAACATCAACTTTGGACTGAGATTCCAGTAAATGGGAAAATGAAATGCTTTAACTCTGTTTTAGTTGGCCTCTAACCAAAAATCATCAGCCTGTTCTTCTTGGGAGATGTTGGGAGGCACTTTTGTCTGACTCTATATCATTTCTTTCACATTTTTATTCAATTCAGACAGCTAACAGTGGGGTGCTAATACCAAAAGATTATGGAAAGCCATCGGTTTTATAATACAGAGTTTTAACCTGCCAAATTAGCACCAGACTTTTATACCCATGTTTTTTAACTGTTTCATCAGATTCATCATTATACATTTTATCAAATCATTTCCACTCTGAGTGGACCTTCCTAAAGGTGTGGGGATTTATGGTTGGGTTTATTTTTTTTAAGGACAAAATAAAAAACAAAGAAAAGAGTTATTCTGCCCCATGTAGCCTGCAGCCTTTCCAACTTCACTGCCTTTGGTTTGTTTGTGTGTTGAATTACAAAAAGGCAGAAATGAAGGCACTACTCTGAAATTCCATAGACTGTAGGTTAACAAATGTGTAGTTAACCAGGGAATACTTGAACAAAAAGCTGTGAATCTATTAAATTAGTCTGTTCCATAACATGACAATTTAAAATCAACCAGACCAGAACCTCTGCAATGACTGATATATTTTCAAAGTCACCTTGTTTGGCCGTCCAATCAGTGGATTATTGCCACACCGCTGATTAATGACATCTCGGATCAGGTGTTTCTGTCCATTGTAAGTTGTCAGGATACTTATCTTGTCTGCAGGATAACCAAGCAGGCACATATACATGAAAAGTGCCACAACATACTCTGCTTCCCCAAGATTCTTGAGTTTCAAAAAGATGAGAAAAATAAAAGAAAATAAAAAAGAGGTTACTCGGTTTGTAAGGTTGTAAAGAATAACACCTGTGTCATTATTATGTATTTAGACAAAAACCTCAGTGCTGAAATGTCTCTACATAGACATTTATTTGCTCACTTAATAAAAGCCATTTTGAAAGACCAAAAGAACCTCAAGTAGGTTTAATAACCTACTGATTCCTCTTCAGAGAACTGCTGAAAATATCTACATCAATATTATTGCTTGTCATTGATTGACTCTTTCCAATATTTACTCAGAAGCTCCGAGTTTTATTTCAACAAGTTTTAATTCTAAATATATAATAGTTCTTAAATATAATAATAATTAAATGTTAGAACTTTTAATTTATATTTATGGATTATGAAATATTTACACATTTGTATCTAAATGCATTTCCATCCCTATAGCTGCCCAAAGAAACCACTACTTTAACTGTATTATTACAGAACTCAACCAATATAATATTTAATTTTTTCCTTCTTAAAGGTCACATGCTAAAAAAAACACCTGTTATGTAAAACTGGAATTATTATTTGTTAAAAAGTACTAGAAGCTGATAATCTACAGATACCTGTATTTAAATACAGGTTTAAAAAATACTTAGTGCCAATATAACAGGTTTCAAATAAGCATGCAAAAAAGTTGCAATAACTCACTCTCCAGTAAGCTGAAAGCAAGAATGAGTTGAACTAGAATAACTCAACACTTTTCAGTTATTAATTAGGAAACAGACTTCTAGATTATCAAATCCAGCTATTTCTACTGAGGCCATACCTATTCAATTTCAAATGACCAGCTGTTATTTTGTATTTTGCACCTTTTTTCCTGTGCTATTAATGATAATAAATAATGTCTGTCCCAAAGCATCACTCTTATGGCTATAGGAATTTTTGTTCTATATCCAGACTGAAGTTATTCATAGCCTGTTTAAATCCATTTTCCATCAACAAAAATTACCTTTCAGTTAAAAAGTTGTTCTCAATTGCTGACATTTATTCCTGCTCTATTTATACTGGGAATCTTATCCCCACTTGGCATATGTTTGACTAGGCTGGACATACCAGCATCATTTATTTTTTTTTTTTATTAAGTGGGCTCTGCATTACTTGGAAAATGCAGTTGCCAGACATTAATATTAAACACCTGTGGGTGTAAAGCTGTTCTACAAATTTTAATCCTCTTTAAGTCTGGAAAGAAATGCCTGAATTCACAAAGAGAAAGAACACATGGTGTCAATCTGTTGTCTCATGAAAAGCCATGCAAAACAACATACTCTGCTGGTATCTCTCAACCCTCAAGATCACAAAAAAAAAAACCCCACAAGCTGTAGGAAGTATTAAAAGGAGTTGTCATGATAAAGGAGTTCTGTGTCCTTGCATGGGTGTTCTCAGTCTTTTTTGGCCAAGGAGCAGTCTAAAGCACTGTTCACTCAGATTCTCAACAGAATCCCATTTTTAAGGCACTAATTTTAGTTGTTCTTGTTCCACAGGACAACTTTTTACTACTTGTATGTTAGTGTTACAGCTTAAAAACAAAATTAAACAAAATTCTCCTCTCCAAACAACTCTGTCCTCTATCCAAAAGTGAGAACCACCGACACAAAACTTAGGAATATCTTTATGCCTTTAAAAAAAAAAAATAGATTAATATAACTCTCAATGATGTCCACAGGGAAAAACGACCATGAATATTATCACCTTAAAGTATATTGTTTGCTTTCCATAATACTAAGCAAAATATAAAGTTTTAATTCCATGTTTGAATTAAATTAATTAACTTGCTCACAGCTCCAGCTTCTATCTCTTTTCCAAAACCCAAACTGGTGATTTAGGCACCAGAGTTTGTTTCATCACTATTTTTAAAACAAGAAAATATAAGTATCTCATTACAGGTGTAAAAGGTTTTCCTATATTTAAGAGAAATAGATGGAGGCTTTTGTTGATGGCTTAATTTGAAAAATGAGTTGAGAAATTCCAAGGCTAGGGTTTTTAATGGCAATTTACTTCAGCCTCAATGTCTCTCTGCCTCTTATGTATATTTCTTGCAGTACTGTTTCATTCTTTTATTAATGGGATTTTTAGTGTTCTTACACACAGATCAAATGAATACAGTGACTCTTCAAACTCAAATATGTGCCACAGAGCAAACTTTGATCCTTCATGTACAGAGGAAATGCTACTGTTTATTTCACTATCATGGCAGTACAGCTGAATTACAACAGACTTTAATTTGTCACAGGTCAAAACAGTGTTTCATAACAAATTATACACCAAATCTCATCCCTCTCATAACATTGAGATAACACAGATATCAAACAAAGTCATTCATTCTAAGCAAAAAGCACAACATAATACATTATTATTTTCAACATTCAAAACTCGTTAAAAGGAGAAAAGAAATCATGCATACACATGAAAATTATCTGAGAACATGAATTAAACATCGGTTTGTTGTTATTTTGATTATCTGTCTTCACTGCAGATCTAATAAGCCATATCTAGATTAAATAATGTATATATGTAATATTTCTCTTACCTGATAGAAATAAGGATTGGGTTCAGACTCTCCCACACCATTGAAGTCTTCTACATTTATAAGCTGGAAGTCGTACAAAAACCCAGCATTGGCTGTTCTGAACTCCGGCAGAAGCTGCACGTGAGGCAGGTTACCCAGATTCTTGTAACGCCAGTTGTAGAGGTTACATAAACTGTTCAAAAACACACAGAGACAAACACCAAGTGGTTAAAGCGGGTTCTTGAACTCATTCAAAATAGTTCAGATGCACACAACCCCTCACATTGGGGATGAATGCTTCTGTAGGTTTTCAGTGAAAAAGATAATATTGCTGGATAGCCTGTACATATATAAATTAACACACTTCTTCAAGCTCTCCAGCAATTACTGTAAGTTTTTATTCTGTTTGGTCCTTTCTCACAGAAAACTTCAGATTTCACTTCTTTTTAGAAAGCCCACTGCAGCATACTCACCCTTAAGCCTGTTAATCGGTTCTACATTGAAGGGAACAAATTTTGCCAAGAAAACTAGTAAGAATTTTCATGGGGAACAAAACTTAAGGAACATAAATACTTCTTTACAAAAAGGAAGGTGTAAGGGAAAAAGGATTTTCTGCATTATCTGCTGTAAAGCCTCTTAGTGCAAAAATAAATTTATTTTCTTGTGTATTACAATGTATTAACATGTGATGTGAAGGGAAGCACTCAAAATCTACACAATTCTGAATCATATCTGATATTTAGAGTGATGGTAATATAAGAAAAATGCTACAGTCAGAAATGCAGAACAGTATCCAGACCAGATAAAGTAGTAGATAGTTTATGGAGAAGCTACCTATGATCAGGAGAAGCTACCTATGATCAGAAAATACAAGACAAAGTGTAGGAAGGTATGAAAACAATCCTTGATCAAGAAATTGCTTGCAAAGTGAAGGAATTCTTCTGCTCTCTTATCTCTTAAGAAATTCTCTGAGATGTTGCAAACTAGTAGATGGCAAAATAAACTTGATTTATCATCATACTCAGATATAATTTGCCTTTTAAAAATCATATTGAAAGTAACTTATTCATATGACTAGAAAATAATATTCTATCACCCCCAACATTTCTTACACAAAAAAGCTGATGATCCCCTTCGCATTATTCATTCCACTTTATGCCTAAAAAAATTAGGATTTAAAACTAAACTTAAAGTAGCAAGATTTTATATGGAGTCATTTTATCTTCTTTGGTTTTATTTTTCCTTGTTAATATGACACCACAATCATGCACTTTACACAATAAATAAATCTGACATCTAAATAATCACAATGAAATGGCAAACACATGGATAAAAAGTTATCTTACTACAGGGAAGCAGTATCTCTTTTAATATGAAAAAAGGTATTATGCTCTTGTGTGGACAGCCTGGTTGTCTCCCAGCAGTCAAAGCTGAAGCTCTGCTGAAATACTACAATAAAAGTACCCTTCTGCAGACCATAAGTGAAATATGATATATTCAAGGCCAAATAAAGCAAATCTTTATTTAGCCTAGACTATATTAAATATATTAGTTTAGAAAATGAAGCTTCTGCAAAGAAGTCTCAGCAGTACGAATACACAAACACTTAAAACTATTAAAATTCCTTGAAATAGCATTTTCATTAAAGTAATACAGTAGCAAACTACTGTTATATATAAAAAAAAGAAAGTAAAATGGATTGCCTATCACCAAAGTAAAATCTGACTTCATAGTATAAGCTGAAACAAATGGAATAAAACAACTAAATTAAAGTTTTGCAAACTTTTGCCCTAACAACAGAAAAAGGTTTCCAATACTACGTGTGCCCTTCCAATTTTTAACGTGGTAGTTTCTGACAAGCTAGAGATGCCATTTTCTCTGCCTCACCTTGCCCTTGCTCTTCCTTGTGCATCCAAATCAACAGTTGGCACTCCAACACGAACAAACCGTGTAAAAAGGGACTGCTCCATGTTGGAGTATTTTTGAAAAGCCATGTTTTTAATGACTGGTGGCAACTGATGATGGTCACCAATCATAATCCACCGCTTCAAACGACTGAATCCATCCTGGGGGTTCTAGAATTAAACAATTACACAATTATAACTATTAAAATAGAATCAAGGCACTTAATTACAACACATTAATAGTCAAATTGGCTGTCATAGTCCTAAATTTCAGCATTTGTTCTTAAGCTACACTGAACTGTGGTCATTTTAAGGACAGCTACTAGCTTCTTTCCAAACTACTACCAGAAAAAAATTATTTATTTAAAATACTACTTTGTAGTCTTATTCCTTATAAAGTGACAGGCAAATTTATCTACTGAAACCAGTAGAGAAACACCAGGCTAAATATCATATTATCTTTTTATAAAGGCCAAAAGTAACATATTTTCAGAGGACAAAAGGAAGAACCAATTATAGAAGTTACAGTAGTACAAACCTGATTCCTACACAGTACTGTTACCCCAGAAGAGTCTTTTAAACATTATTTTTTGGATTCTGAGATACTTGAATACTTGATACTGAAGTGCCTGAAGCATCTGAAACAATTTTAGTGCTCCCATGTCTTGGGCACAAACTCAGCCTGCTTTTCAAGTGTCTCCGTGGTTCACATGCTTCACCTGTTTACCCCTGGAATTCCCTCTTTCACAACTAGGATGTGCCTTTAATTAATCCTCACCCTGGCTCTTGGATTGAATGCTCTTCAGTATGTTTGCTCTTTCCAATTCATCATCATCCTTTGTGTACCTATGTTACATACTGACAGAGCTCACAGAACACTGCTACATAGGAACAAGGATGTGTGCCAAGAAAGGAACAGATGTGTGCCTGATGCATCCAGTTACTCTATGCTCATTCAAACATTTGAAAAAACACTCTAAGATGCTTTTTCCACTAAATATAATAAGTCCATAATTATTGAAAACCATGGTAAAAGCCAGGCAGGATTTATTCATTTCACAGCACTGCAAATACAATGTTGTAGCATTAAATTCAAGATTGCCAAAATGCAAAAGCACAACAGCCTAAATCAGTACACGTGTGTTTATGCATGGAGATTTAAATATCTAATTGCTGAAGAAGCAACTTAAATGACAACTTCTGCCTCCATACCTTTCTGACAGTTAGGGGCATCAAACTAAGCAGCAAGAAGAATCTTGCATTTCAGGTTTAACTAATTTGAAAGTTGTTCTAGGGACTACAGTGAGGATTCATTAAGCCTGCGGGACAGAAAGGAACCAAGTCTATTTCACTGTATTATCATAATTGCTGTACTAGAGCTTGACTGTCACTGCTTTACAATTTGTGAGAAGCCTCACCCAATACAGGTTTGCTCTCCAAACACCCCAAACAAGATGGAGAAATATGTGCTCCTGTTCAGAGTTCAGGCAGTATTTGGGGCTTAGAGGGTGAATTAGAATTATCAAAACTCTGCATTCCTTAACACATTGAGAAGGTGTTAAAGAACTACATTAATATCCCTAAAACTTTAAAACCTGCAGAGTTAAACAGCAACTGAGAACCGGACTTAGGCTTTCACAGCAATATGGTTAACTCAGACATGCACATTCTTTTGTGCACTAAGCCCATACTGAGTTACTTTCCTGCAATTGTATTCTACTCTCCATTGTTGAAGTGCAAAGTGAAAAATTATGACCTGCCACTATAAATATATCAAAAATTTCATGGAGTTTCCATCACATCTTTTTCAATTGAGATTAATTTTCTTTTAGAATGCAAATCCAAAGCTTGGATGTGGTTTTCCAGAAGACTTAAAATTATTGTTTTTCAATGAAAATATCTGCTCCAGGCAAAACTTCTGAAAGGGAACTTAATTTTAGAATATGAGCAAATGCAGACTGTATTTTTCAGAAATCAACAGTTCAGACTGTCTTCAGTTTTACTGACCTGCCACATAGCAGCTTCTGATTTGCAGCTAAAGAGTTTGCACTGAGTTCCTGAGGGGGCCCATACTTCACTTCCAGAGAAGAAATTTTATCTTGTGATAACCTGAGATTACAGAGATAACAGAGCCCCAGGTGCGAGAGAAGCACATTTTGAATACTTATGAAATCTCTTAGCTGATAAAAGAGGGAAGTGATGCCTCTTGAGCTCAGGTTGCTAAAAGCAACCACAGATAATCTTCACTAGAGGCACAAAAAACTTCAAGACAGTCTGAGTGAATGTGTTAAGTTTAGAATGATCAGAGTAAATGTTTTTAGGGAA